ATTCAATATTGTTGCGCCCGTGCCAAGACGCCCGGTAGAAGCCCGAAAACCAGTTGCGAAGCGCTGCGTGACGTCGAGCCTGACGACGAGCTGTTGCGTTGGTTTGTTTATATCCCGCACGGCCTCGAGTGAGAAATCTCTCGCGCGTGCAAAATCGGCCATCTGTCGCACAGATGACGCGCGCGCAATAGGCCACTTTCCACGCACTTTGTAATATAAAATAGGGTGTGTAACACGTGCGGTTTGAGAATTGGACACGAGTGCGGGTGATCGCACTCGCCTTCGGCTCGTGCGTCCAATCCGCACTCGTGTCCAATTCTTAACTTCCCGCACTTGTTACACAAATAACTATTACATTTTTTTTCCGTGGGTAGAGGGGAAATGCCTCGCGCACGCCCGGCCCCGGCTACCGGGCCACCGGTTGTGTGGGGCTTGCACCCACTAAAACCCCTCTCCTCTAAACATAGCACGCTGGACAACAGTTACGATACGTGGAACTACACGAGGCATGACATCACGTACCACAACAGTCCTCACGCCGAGGCGACAGAAAGACGTAAACTAGACAAAGACCACACGAATAGGTTACCGCCAGAAATGCGTCTACCCCGGCAGAAGAGATCCCTAGTCGAATGAGACGGCACTCCGTGCCGCCATTCGACCGCCTCAGAGGGCCCTCTTGATAATAGCCGCGGGCAGCCATATCATTGAGGGCTTTCTTTATTGGTTGCGAGACGCTTCCCCAAAGAGAGCCCGCATCTCCAGCACAAAAACGTACCCGAACTACAGAACGTGTACGAACAAAACTTACAGAAACCCTCTATCCGGATAGAGGGTTCCACACCACATAAAAAACACGAGCCCTATCCTTGGGCCCGTCAACGCCGTGGGTATTATACCCGTTCCCGATAGAAAGATCCAAAGATCTCCAACTCTGGCCAGGTGAAGCGCTTGGCGGGAGAAGAGTTGCGCCCCTCTCCAAGACCCCGCCCGAAGGTGGGGCCCTGGGGAAGGGCGCAAAGAACATAGAAGCGAGGCGCACCGCTACAAAAACCCAGAAATCCTCAGGGGGACGACCAACCGCACCCCGCAGCAACAACGAGGCTCGTGACTCCCATTGCCTAGCAATGGGGTCAGAGCCCCGAAAGCACAGCGGTGAGCAGCGGGCCCACGGCCGACCAACCCCCAGAGGACCCCGGACCCAACAGCAACGGGTACCCCGGAACATATAACACCGGCAAACGGACAGAACAATCACGCCCGCAAGAAAACGCGGCGTTCCGGACAGTCCCAGAGGAGCGGCGACCGCCGACCGCCCCCGAGCCACCCCCCCCAGGGATCCGGGAGCGTCGCCGAAACGACGCGCCGGACCCCCAGACGGGAGCAGCCTGAAGACCGGCCGGCGATCCCCCCCCCCCCCAAGAGACGCCGAGACTGACCCGCGAGAACGCACGCCGCAAAATAATATAATCAATCGCAGGTCACATAAGTAAAACGAATATTTTTAACGTAGAACGTGAACGCAGTTAAAGACAGTTCGAATACTATGGGGGGAGATCGTCTTCCCCAACCGCAGGATCTTGTTGTCTTCGCCTTTCATCCTCTTCTTTTGCGCCGCAAAATTCTTTCAGTGAAGGCTGAAAAGGCGTTCCACGCCTCGCAAGATTCACACATCCTCTCAACAACGCTGACCAAAGATAAATCTTGGCCGATAACCGCCGTCAGGTTTGTTTCTGCCGTCTGTCAGATTCTTCACTGGGCCTTCGTGTCGAACAGACGTGTTCACGAGCCCTTCGTTGGATTTGCTAATACCCATTAAACGAGTTCTTTTTTACTAGAGAGAGTCATTATTCCCGAAAACAGGATTGCGCGCCGCGTTCGTGAGTTTGAGTGTGTGTGAGTGCAGCGGAGTAAGAGGTGGTCTGTCCGTCGGTTGATCCGGGGGGTCCGCTGGCGATGACGGAGCCTGGAAAGCTCGTGTCAGCACTGTCTGACACGCTGTGCTTCGCGTTTCCGTGATGCGGATCAGGTGGAGGGCCGGTGGTCGCGAGATGCGGCAATCTCGCTTCCTGAGGGTCAGTCCAGCGGGCCTGGACAACGCACCTCCGGGAGCTCCAGTGGAATGAGCTTCCACGGACGTATCGCCTGGCCCTTGTCAGGCTCCCGTCTCTTCACCAGCCGCTCCTGCGGCACTGGCTGCTTGACTGAGCGAGGTGTTGATAGGCCCGGTCTCTCCTCGTGCCGCTCCTGCGACACCTGTTTAACGGGCTCTGCCCTTTTCACGGGCCGCTCCTGCGGCGCTGGCGGGTGGGAGAGACGCTTCCTCCGTCTCTGGCTTCGCGTCCTCGTTCGGCACCTCTTCCCTCTGGTCGTCGTCAAAGTGGTGCCGCGCCGCGCCTCCGCTTCCACAGTGCCGGGCCCGGAAGGGGCGTCCGGCTTGGAGGGAACAGCGGTCTCCACGGTGGCTCCAAGGGAGTGCAATAAGCGGAGGAAAAGTCTTTCGACGCTTAAGGACGTTCTCTCGTCCTTATACTAGAAAAAATCGATTTTCTTAGGATTTTCTTGAAACTGTGAATATACGTTAATTTAGGTGTGCTTTATGCGTGGTATAAATTTCAGTACCTCTTCCGGAATAAAAAATAAAGATACTAAGCCTCAAAGTTTCAAAAAAAAATTTAAAATTCCATTTTTTTTAGTTTTGACATTTTTTCCTTATAGAACTCGACGAGAGGAGCAACTTTAATTCTTTTGTTATATTATAATATTTTTTATACCGGAAGAGGTACTGAAATTTATACCACGCATAAAGCACACCTAAATTAACATATATTCACAGTTTCAAGAAAATCCTAAGAAAATCGATTTTCTCTAGTATAAGGACGAGAGAACGTCCTTAAGTGCGATTGAGCAGAGGAGAAGTCTCTCAACGCTTAACTGCGATTGAGCGGAGGAGAGGGTATCTCACTCAACGCTACAAAATAATTATGGTTCGACTCTCTCAACGCTTCCTCGACACGAGATCGTGGAGTGTAGCGGTAGAATTCGATAGCTGGTCCTTGCGCGGCTCGCCTTAAATCGCCGCACGATCGTACTTTAAACGCGAGTAAAGGTGTGTGTGTCGGCGACGCGCCGCGGCGAGCCGCGGAGTCTGATAAGCGCGTGTTGGCCGGGCGTGCAGTTGTCAGGCGCGCGCGATGAACGTTCGACTTTTCGAACAATATAAGATATTACAATTTTTTGACGCGCAAAAAATTTTACTTTTGACCTTCGAAAACACGTTTGCCTTGATAAAAATCACAACATTGCACATAACCTCACTAAACTTTGTTAGTCACGTGGGCACCATAAGCCGCCTTTACAGTATTAATGGCAAGTTCCCACAACATACAGATTTCGAGATATTGCAATGACGACTCCACCCCGGTGACGACTTTGCCCCGGTGACGACTTTGCCTCGGTCTCTTTTACCTATATTGAATCTCTATATACGGATAAAGCCAAAATACTACATAGACTGAATATACAAGATATACAAATTTCTATATACCTTTGAATATACTTTTTGTCTAGGCCAGTCTAGGGTATATACGTGTATATAAAATGTGATTTGCACTATCTATATAAGTATATCTATATTTGAAGGTTCATTTATATATCACAAGTACATACATACAAATATACGGGATGGTCCATTTAAAACAGTATGGTTGAATAACTTATAAAAAAGGAAGATAAAAAAATTTGTCAGATAAAAATTATGCGCTAAGTCCGAAGACTCGTGGATATCGCAATTTTGCCACGCGCCGGTGGCCTGCTTATATTCCGTCTCCAACTAAGATTTACTTACGAGTTAGTCTTACCGCCATGCGTCGCCTACCCAGGTAGCACAACGTCGTCACTTAGACGTCGTCTTTTTTACGTACGCATTCGCCAGAACGTACGTCAAACTGACGGTCAGTATGATGTCTAAATGACCTTATATTGACGGCCATTTGTCACAGCATAAGTGACGTCATTGGATAACGTCAAATTTACATCAGTATATGACGTAAGTTTATAATAATTTTAAAAATGCTCTAAAAATGACATAAATATGAGTCATTTAAAGGTATGTAAATGCCGTTATGCTTTTGTGAATTAAGAATTTTAGAAAAACAAGAAAAAAAGAAAATACATTTATTATGTATGGCGTGTGTGGAAACAGCCGCGCGGTCACCCATCCAACTCAGTACCGCACTTAACGTTGCTTGACATCGATGATCGAACAGACTAGTGGTGATCCTTTGACTCTGGCGCTTCCTTGTTGCTAATACTTCTATATAACATATCCTTATAGTGTTTAAAAATTGTGTAATGATAATAACCGGTAAATATTAAAAATAATAACGTAATTACAATTAATGTACAATAATTATTAATATAAAATTCGTATATTTAACATAATATAATATTAATATAATAATGTTAACAATATATGAAAACGCCTAAAGACGCTACCTGACAAAATAAAGAATTTTTTTAATAAATCGAATCAAAGTTGAAAAATAATTAGAAATCAAATTTAAAGAAACATAAATCTAAAAAAAATCAATCTTTACTTTATGTATGTGCATATATGTTCACGGAGTAAGTTATAGTACTATATTTTCTATTGTTCTTATAATATTTCTGCAATGTTGTTCTAATATTCCAACGAAATGTTGCAATTGTCTCTACAACATTGCATTGCAACTTTCCAAGGAACACACCAAAGTCAACAAATAGTCAAAATGACTGTACTTTTATTCAAAATGGTCACGCATTTTCTGTATGACGAAAAATTGACGGTCGTAATAAAGTCAAAATTATATCAAAATGTTTTACCATCATTTTACCATCATTTTGACTTTATTGTGACTTTCACATGTATATATATATATATATATATATATATATATATATATATATATATATATATATACAATATATTTATTTATTTATTTGTATTATAGATCTGCGATTACGATTTAAGAATAACAAATGTCAACGCGCGATATGCTGGGGCTACTCATGATGCATATATTTGGAGAAACTCAGCTATCAATGCAAAAATGCAACGTAGATATATTGAAGGTGTGAACTGTTTCCGTTATGAATGTTGGCGCTTTATCTATTTTGTTCAATAGTATATTTTGGCTTCTTTTGTAGGAGACAGCAACACATGGTGCATTGCAGATTCAGGATACCCGCAGCAACCTTGGCTAATGATACCCATTACAAATGCGTTGCCCAACACACCAGAAGGCCGTTATACCGCAGCTCTTGTTCGAACTCGATCTTACATTAAAAGATGCATTGGTGTACTCAAAGGACGATTTCGATGTATTCTCGGAGAGAGGATGCTGCATTACACACCTAGAGTTGTAGCGCGTATTGTTATTGCATGTGTAATCTTGCACAATATTTGCACGGAGGGACGACTACCAATTAATCAGTACGTTAATGAAGAAGTAGAGGCTTATCCCTATAATGCCGATGCTATGCAGAATGAAAACATAGATCTTTCAGGTCCACTGGCGAGAAGGCGACTCATAGAAACATATTTTACGGACAATGTTTAAGTACAACAATAGTTAATAGTACGAAAGATATGCTAAAAAGAGTTTATAATGACACATGCAAGTTTTCTGAATATTGTTTTATTATAAAAATGTATTTTTACTTTACATATTATAAACATGTATTTTTACTTTACATATAATACTATTTTGTACTATAATTAACAAGTATCCCCTTCATTTTTAACTGAGAAGCTAGTAATAGTTGCAATACTCTTCTTCAAATATTTCTTAAAACTTATTTTGCACTTTAATCACATCTGAACGGAAATATATGAAATATATTTAGGATTGAGTATGTTGAGTTTGAACTCAAAATACAGAGCAGCACATGCACTGTTCGGACTAAACTTAATTATGAAAGAAAGAAAACTACTAAACCAGTAAGAATATCTAAAAGCGGTGAACGGAATATCTGGAATATGCAGTTTTTTATTTTACTCCTGTCCATTGCTTTTTCCATCATTTACGAAAATTAAAAAGAAAATAAATTTTAGATTTAGACAAAATATAACTTAAAATTTGCGCATTACTTCGTATTCCTATTATAAAAACAGTTTCTATCACAAGGATATGGTATGTACTTTCTCATTAATCTTAATAAAAACTTAATATATAGCACTTTTTTTTTGGTAATAATTATATCACAATCATGATTTTGTGATTAATGGATAAATCTATTTCTGATTAAGTAAAAGTTATTCCTTGCCCCCGACAAAATTCGAGTAGAATGAGAAAAAATTTTTCAAATCTATGGCAATTTTTCCAATATTGCTATCAATGCTTTTGAGAACATCTAGAGTATTGTTGTTCATTCTTTCGATCTAACACGATAACTCGATTTTTTTCTTACGGCTACTAGTTACATTTGGTGAATGGACATTAGTTGTATTCTCCTTAGTTATATTCTCGTTCATTTCATCAATGGAGTAGTTATCAATGTCTTCGTACTTCCTCTTTTGTACATTTTCGGTGTTCGATTTTTGTTGTGTCAAGGTAACTGTTTCTGAGCTTGCATTCATGTTTTTTCGTGTCTTTTGCATTGGATTCTTCTAAAATTATAGTCATTATTATACATTTGTCCCAATTTTATCCGTGATTAGATCAATTTTAGATGTGCGTACCCTCTAAAGAATATGAGTGTTTGAATATTATTCAAAAGTCTAATAAGTTGAATAATTTTACGTTTAAACTAATTCGATGTATGAGCTTTGATGTATACTAAAGAGCATACTTCTTTTGGAAGACCATATTCCTGTACTCCTTTATCACCATTAAGTGCCGTCTGGCCCATTAATTGAAGAAGACGCAACTCAATATCGGATAGCAATAATTCACAGCTAGGACCACCACCGGTACCAGTTTGGCTCTGGCGAATAATTGAATGCTTCTTCTTTGTATTTGATTTCCAATCATTGAATGACTATAACAATAAACAAAATATATACGTTATACAGATTGTAATTGTCAAAGTAGAACATATTGCTTATTTATTGACGTACTTTTTTCCATTTAGTAATTGTTTTTGAACCCTTTCCAATTGAATTGAGAAGTATGGTGAGAATATCCCATTTCTGGCGTAACATTTCACGTCCTCTAGGTCCAAGTAGCTGGTTTGTAACAATTTCATTGTTTTCTTCTGCATACTCCACCAAAGTTGCCCAATGATCCTCTGTTACTCTCATTGTTGTACTGTCAAACAATGCACACGATACAAAGATTTTTTTGTCAGTTATGCGTCGTCTACAATAGCAGTCGTACGATACGATCTTAGAGTCGTATTGATGGTCACGTAAGAGCCAAAGCACACAACATGGCGTAGCGATATACGACGGTCGTAATCCTCGACCTGACAAATCACGATATGTCAAAGCTTGTGCGTTACTTACGTCCACGACTACGACTGTCATATGTGCTTTGGGTCCTAACCAATTTCATTGGCGCAATACGACTATCGATATAACTCTACGATCGTATCCAACGACTTTATGACTATTGTAGACAACGCATTAAACAGAATATAAGTGCAAAATATAGATAGGATATAGCAGGATATAGCAGCAAAACACAGCATAATCAGACGCATCATCATCGGCTAATTTTTCACGTTCAATGAGTTTTTAAAAATAAAATAATCTTTTTAAATAATCACGAATTTATGTACTTACGTAATCTCCAAACAAACGAATAAGCCTGATGAATCCTTAAAATAATAATTTTGACTTTTTCTTAAATAGTTCTCGGTTCCCGTAAAGACAAAGCAAGCTCGATACGGCCAATGTCCGAATATGGTTTGTGCTGACACTCGCGCGTTCTGCAAGTCCCCCAGACCATAGATTAGTCATGTATGAAGAATGGTATCTGATGGCGTATTCCTTCTCGAATACGAATTCGATCGGTGCACGTAATCCCTCTCCAGGACCGTTCTGCGGGGAATGCATTGTCGAGTTCGATGATTGTCACAGTGACCTCGAGTGCTGTTCGCAATGCGATTGTTGCTAAGAAGCGCGAACGGGGCGTGCTGAAGCAAACGGTTGTGTGTGGAGGCAGTTCTAACAGTAACATTTATGTGAATGAACTGCTTCCTAAGTGCACATACGACTTATTACAGCAAGTCAAGCGTATTGCTAAGGAGAGCGCGTTTAAGTATGTCTGGGTGAGGAACGGCCAGATATGTGCTCGACGTTCCGATGGTGACCTGTCATCCATATCAATAATGATACTGATCTCGATAAGCTCGTTTGACGTGTGCACACCGGTCACTCTGCGTTGTCTGATCATGTAATATCATCATTCACACATCATCGCTCTGCTTCGGGGACCACTCAATTTCGTGTGGCCCAATTTAACGCCAATTCTTTGCGCGGTCATATTGATTTCATCAGACTATATTTTAATACCAACCATTATCATGTAATTTCTGTGTCTGAAACTTAGCTTCATGCAGGCGTTTCTGATGACCTTGTGGCTTTAGATAATTATTTTTTGTTGCGTCATGACAGAGTGGGACGAGCAGGCGGTGGAGTAGCATGCTATATAAATAAATCGCTTAAAGTCAAAATTATAGCTGCCTCCTTGCAGCCGTACACTTTGGGTAGGCAGCCGAAAGCGGGTGAAACCCCGCAAGAAACGAGTCAGCGGACGCAGGAACCAGAGGAGCGAGCGGAGAGGACAACCGCAACCCCGGGCAACGGACGGATCGAAAATAATCGCGAACCATTTTATGTTCGAGTAAGGAAAAACGGCGCCTGCGCCATGGTGAACGCATACGGTGTAGAATGAGAATAAAAACTTCCCGGCGAGTACGAAGGGAGGACTCGTCGTGAGGGAAGAGGCATTGAATCCAGGCAATCGTTTGGGCGTTCTATTTCCTTCAGACTGAAATTGCGCATTGCCCATATGGCTATTTCTGTCTCTAAATTAAAACAGCTTTAAGCCCATATCGTTATTTCTTTCTCCGATTAGTTTTAGTCTCTGCGAAGACGAATTATCATAACTCGTTAAAGAGATAAGCTGCGTTAAAAACCCGAATGGTCAAATTAGTTCCAGATTAATTTTCATTTCGTTGCGATTCTAACAGGTTAAGTAGCATACTGTTGAAAGGGCGGCATGTCCATGCGGCCGATGTAGTACATAGATATAGGTTAGAAAATATATCCGGCCAATCGGCCCGAAATTAGGTTTAAACGTTTCTTTGATGTACCGCCGATCAAAAAGGTCTTAGTTTATTTAGCGGTTCACGATAAAGTTTAGTTGTAATTCTTGAGCAAAAGTCGGCGCGCTTGTTTCAACGCGTTGACAAGGAGTAACGACGATATTCAGTATCGGAGGAACTTCCCCCGGACCCGGTACGCGCGTCCAGCAGATGGGCGCCAAGTAAGGATTAAATTCCCGGAAAATTCAACATCCCCAGGAACAAAAGTGCGGGAGCGTCTCCCGAAAACCGGGAATATCGCCCCAGGGGGTTGACGTCATAACCCGGTGAAATCCCCGGGAAACGCATCTTCTCCAGGGAGAAAGAAGTCCGATCGTCTCGCAAGGACCGGAGAAATCTCCCCAGGGGGTCGTCGCCAATGTCCGGTAAAATCCCCGGAAAACACGTTTTCGTCGGAAACGAAGGTATACAACCGTCTCTCCAGGACCTGGGACACCCTCCCAGGGGGTCGGCGTCATGGTCAGACAAGTTCCCCGGAAAACGCATCTTCCCCGGGAACAAAGGACGGAATCCATCATAAAAGGTCCTGGGATACCCGCCTAGGGGGTCGACGTCGTTCTCCGACGAGATCCCCAAGAAACGCACCAATTCCAGGAACAAAGGCCCGAAAAGGTAATACCAGCTACCGAGAAACCCAGCCAGGGGGTCGGCGTCAACGGCCGACGACAAATACGTCACCCGGACGTCATCCACAGGAAAAACACCCGAAATTACCATCAGGGGCATCTCCGATGAGGTGCGCAAGGGTCGGCGTCATCCGCGTCGAGAAATTTTCGGAATTGAAAACCTGGTGCAGCGGTGCCAAGGCGGGAAGGTTCTCGCACTGCGTTGCGCGTGGAAATTTCCACGGGAACCTTCCAGAATGGGCGTAAATCGAAAGTGCGCAAAAGGGCACGCGAGAGGGTAGTAATAATAAACTTGTTTTCGCATGATCGCGCCAGATGTGCCGGCCGCGAACAATAGGCGAAAGAGAAAGTTCGGAAAGTGGGAGCAATCCGGCATAAGTGGGGAGGCCCAGCGAGAGCGACCGCTCGAGGCAGTTTCTCGGGTATAGCCGTGGCGAACACACGTATCACTCTGTACGATCGGCATACGCGTTATACTTTACAACCGAGAACTCCCGCGTGCTATCGCGTTAAATTACTCGTCTTAACAATAGCGAAGGGCATCTAGATGCCAAATACAATTGAGTGTTAGCAACAATACGCGAGTTGAAATTCGGATACATTGTTAATTAACGGAAGTGCATATCGAGTATATAACAACCACGGGCATTAGGTCACGCGGATATGAAATATTGTGCGGACATTATTAATTAGTGTATTTAACAACCAGATACTCGTTAGTTAATTCTGCGCACGAACATTGTATGATATAGAGTGATGATCACGGCCGAGTGCGTGATCATAGTACAACAATCACGGAGCACAGAGTCCTCCGATCGGAATAATTATCTGGAATAAAAGCATCGTATCGACGAAACTAATAAGCCGAGATACGCAAATTAAACAATTGTGCGACTTTTATTAAATAAAGCGACACCCACACCGAGGCGCAAAACTCGTGATGTGAGACACCTTTATAACATTGTGAAACGGCCTGTAGTGTTGAAATAATGATCTGGAATTAAGGAATAATTAATTCTGAAACAAATTCTCCTGATTAATTATAAAAAATTATCAATACTTACTTTCTACTTACCTTATCCTTCGACGATGATCCAACGTTGGCCAGCGGCAATCCGGTATGCGATGTAAAGCGAGGATCCGGGGAAGCACAGCAGCAACAGCAATAGCGATCAATCCGGGGCAGGAACCTGAAAGAAAAGAAGCGAATTCGTATATAATTAAACATAATTATCGGGACTTACCCTCATCTGGTATGCGATGTAAAGCGAGGATCTAGAGACGGGAAACAGCAACGGCGATCCAACGGGGACATCAGTCTGAAATAAAATTCAAATAATTAGGATATAATTATTTTATCCTTACTTACCTCTATCTGGTATGCGATGTAAAGCGAGGATCCAGGGATGAAAAGCAGCAACAGTGATCCATCAGGGACATCATTCTGAAACAAAGAAATCCTATTAGCGTCTTGCGAATAATCGTGGCGTTGATGCGAACTTACCTTCTCGGTAGTCTAAGGTTAAACCGAGTGGCGACCATTCGATAAGAATATTATCCGCCGGAATCGGGCTCAACTCGTGCCGTCCAGTCACAACCTAAGGACCTCCTCTTTCATGACTTTGTTAAGACATTGACTAGATACTCACACCTGTACAAAAATGTAATGATTGGTGGTGATTTGAATTGTAATTTATCATCGACCAATTATGAGGCGAATTACTTGCGCGAGCTCATGTCCAGCTTATCATTACACATTATTAATTCCGAACCTACCTATCACACGGCTACTTCAGACTCATGGCTCGATGTTTTGATTATAGATGATGCTGATAAGCTTTTATCTTTCGCTAAATCTCAAGTCCTTTCATAGCTGGTCATGATATAATAAAGTTATCTATGTTACTAAATTTTAATTCAATATCTGAGCGCACTATTTCGCGGAAATTACAGGGGTATTGACTGTTCTAAGTTCTCAGATCACCTTGTATCCATTGCTGGTACAGTGCGGACAGAAATTGATGAAGTGTCTAATGACACTGATGTTGATAGATTCTGCGAAGTGATGTCTCGCAACCTGTTAAAGGCACTGGATATTTTTGCTCCCATTCGTGTATTTACAATTAAGAAGCCTCCAGTGCGGTGGCTCACGAGTGATCTTAAGACTCGGATGCGTACTCGTAATCAGCTATATAAGCAGGCAAAACGCTCTAATAGTTTACTTGGATATGCCACTTATAGACTTTTTCGCAATCAGCTTAATGAAGACATTAGACGCGCTGAAAATGAGTTTCAATTTAAGTCTCTTGAAAACGTCACCGATCCTTCAAAATAAAACAACCTGTCTTCGAAGCGCGGATCGAGCTTGCGGCTGGCCGGGGTTCGAAGAAGGTGCGGAGAAGCAGACGGATGGCGAGGTTAGCGAAATGAAGGCGCGTCTCGGTTAAAAGAAAATAGTTAAATTTATTCTATAACAATTACAATCTACGCTCGCGGCATTTACAATGGGTCAATGCGTGCGAGGCGACGTTAGTTTGGGCGCGGGCGGCGCGGGGCAACCCGCGGTATGTGCGGGGCGGAGCCGCTGCTTTTGTATTCGCGCGGACCGAATCGCGTGGTGGCAGGTATCGGCACGGGCGGCGCCGGTTTCCCGGCCGGCGCGGCCCGGAGCGCGGAAAAATGGCGCGAAGCGCGGCGGCGATATGGATCGCGAAGCGTGGATAACGCGGCGGAAGCGGGTCGTCGGCCGAGACACACTCGGCGAGGGCAGAGAATGCCGGAAGCGCTCTACCGTCTTGTCCGGACAGGCTTCGGATGATTTGGATAACGAGAAGCTGGTCCTTCGCCGAGACACACTCGGTGAAGACAGAGAATGCCGGAGGCGCTCTACCTTCGGATCCGGACGGCTTCGGGTGATTCAGATAGGTGC